AGCTACTGGGATCAATGACAGACTGTTTTGTTCTGTTTAATTAGAGCATTAGACGATCATGTTTTTGAGTGTCGTAAAATTGTTACTTACGCTACTAATAAATATTTCTCGTTGATTAGAATGGCTTTTATTAAATGTATTAATACAAACATCAGAAACTTGACCTGTTACTTGTCACACTCAACCTTCTTGCTTATTAGATTGAGGGGTAAGATTCCTTTGCATATATTTTAAAATAGCTTTTTGTTAGTCGTAAAATATGTTTTTTTAATCCATGTATGTGTGTGTACTATGTACTATTGCTGATACCTTAAATATTGATTCACTGCTCATGTAACCTTTCTTTCTTGTTATTGTTCCAGTTTTTTTAGGAAATGGCGATCTTTTCGGACTCAAACGCCCATTATAAATAGCTCTTCAAATATTGTATAGGTCATGCTATTCGTGGAGCACGTCTGCTGGCCATCCACCAATCAGATGAGTTTTATTGCAACCAAACGTGCTTCATTCCTCAACTAGCTGATTTTTTTTTAAACCGATGACTGAAAGACATAGATCTATACTTGTCTCAATAAAGCGAGGTAAAGAATGCGAGATGGAGTCTGGACGACGAAGGATGAAAAAAAGGAGATATCTTTTAAAGAATTGCCGGAAAAACACGAGCAACTGTGAATGTTTTATTTATTCTATCACTAATTTTTAAGTATGATTACATTACAATTTGAATCTGTCTGCTTAAATTTGAATCTGTCCGTTTATATTTTAAACTATCAGTTTAAATTTGAATGTCTGCTTAATTTTGAATCTGTCTGCTTGCATTTAAAATATATTCTTACATTTGAATTTGTCTGTTTATGTTTAAAGCCATCAGCTTAAATTTTAATCTGTCTGCTTACATCTGCTGACAATTATAGATAAAAAATACAACATAGTACTACTAAGTTAAATGACATTTCTTTAGCTAGGATGTCTGGCTGCACGTGGTCACGATAGTTCTGAGTTCGAATCCTATTAGCCGTCATAATTGACCTTTCATTTATTAGCTTACTTTAAAAAGATCTACATTTCTGAAGGAGCGATCGTCTGAAAGAAAAATAGGAATTAAGTCAGTACGGATTCATGGAAATCTAGTTTGATTGTTACGTCTTGTAACGTGATGAGACTCTTTTAGCAATACGCTAACACCAAACGTCAAAACGTAGTTTATAGCCACTTGTTACGTCACGAGACTCCTTTAGCAATACGCTAACACCAAACGTCAAAACGTAGTTTATAGCCACTTGTTACGTCACGAGACTCCTTTAGCAATACGCTAACACCAAACGTCAAAATCGTAGTTTATAGCCACTTGTTACGTCACGAGACTCCTTTAGCAATACGCTAACACCAAACGTCAAAACGTAGTTTATAGCCACTTGTTACGTCACGAGACTCCTTTAGCAATACGCTAACACCAAACGTCAAAATCGTAGCTTAGTAATTATTTTATCTGAATTTAATAATTAACACTGTAAACTATTTTGTTTCTATCCCTCCATTTTGTTTACCATCTCCTTTCAACGCGCATGCGCACCATTCCACTTTCACACTACGATGCGCATTGAGGAAGATCAAAGACAGTATACTTAAAATGTGTAATTACCGTTATAAAACATGGAAAAGTCTGGAATATAATCTCCCTTTTTTTTTTTTTTGAAGGAACATTTGTACTCGTATGTGATAAGTTCTGGTCAATGCTCATAACACAAACTCATTTTATCCGAACTTTGTTTATTGTGGAGTGGGAAGGGGGGGGGGGGATTGTGGCTGAATGCACTTGACTTTCGAACTGACGGTCTCGGGTTTGAATCTTGGTGATGACTGATATTTTTCAAATTAGAAACATTTAGGATATTCCTGAGTTCAGCCAACTCAAATGGGTACCTGACATTACCTTTATGAAAGTAAAATCAGTTGGTCATTGTGTTGGCCACATGACACCCTCGTTAACAGTGGGCCATATAAAACAGATTACATCATCCGCATCATAGACCGCAAAGCCTGAAAGGGGCATCTTACTTTATGTTTATCATGAATTTAAAAAAAATCCATATTTTTAAATTTGAATAACGATGTGTCGGGAAGTAGGGCTGAGAAGTTTCTTTGCAAAAGAAGGTCGATTTCAGAGAAACTTCTCCTAGTTACTCAAACCCTTGTCCCAAACTGATCCACAAAAAGAGATCAACCCAGAGCGCACTGGGGTGGCTATAAGCATAAAAGATGCACGTTACAATTAATAAAAACTAAATTCCGAAATAGTATGAAAAAACAACAACATTAATATTCATTATTATTAATATTATTGTTTATTTTTTTTTTATATCAGATAAAATCATCTTCAACATACAAGGAACTTGCACATAATGATCAAGACGCAAATCTAACACATGTATTGTATAACTTGACAACAAATCAACTTATTGAAGCAATGGACAACCTCAAAAATACATAAATCAAATCTGTAAAATTTATAACAGTCTTATAAAATACAATGGAGAATACATATAAGAAACATGAACTATAGATTCATTATGTAAAATACATATAACAAACATGAAATATGCATTCGTGATGTAAAATGAATAAAAGAAACATGGAATGTGCAGTTATACAGGTAACACATATAGAAAGGATGACAAAACAGAATCTTTCAAGGTATTTACCAACACAACTCATTATAACATTGGACTCCACCTAACAAGAAGAAACCGTATATAGGAGCCTTCAAGCATCGGATATATTAAAACTTCTATGTGTCAACGTTTTCCTAATTGGCTCAGAGTTAAACATGAAGAAACTATATCAATAGGCCCGAACAAGACTCTGGCCGCAAAACCTTCCTATAGAACAAAAACTAGTCGGAAAGCTGCCTGATCTGGAAACCACTGCGCAGTTCATCTCAGATATAGGATTACTGATCTGAACTGCCTGATCTGGAAACCACTGCGCGGTTTGATCTCAGAAATAGGATTACGGATCTGAACCCTCCGACATGTATAATGAGAACGAAGAAGAAGAAGACATGAAGAGAATCCTAGCGGCCAGAAGGCATCAGATCATCAGAGGTAGAACATAGATGAATAACAAAGGGACTTGCCAATGACATTTGTTGATAGCCTAAAGTTCAGATCTTAAAATGACATCCTTTCCTTCCGAGATTTCCTTTGTAACAGAAGGCACTTTTATTATTTAGCTGGTGTCATTGATCTTTCAATATTGCGTCCTTGTGTCTGTTTAGTTTCTTACGCATGTATTTAGGTGACATTATAATGCCCGTATATTTCTCCCAACTGCTCTCTCTTGTTTTTCTATGCTACTGTGTCGTACTGCTTAAAACAGTGTTTCCGAAACCGTGTTTGCAGAACCCTAGTGTTCCGAGAGGTCTGAATAAGTGTTTCACAAACTACTGGAATAATTAACCAGTAGGCCGCCACATGAATTATAATGTCTCTTAAAAAAATAAGCAAAGTGTTCCGCTAAATAATCAGAAAGTGCGAAGTGTTCCGTTAAGGAAAATGTTTGGGAAACACTGGCTTCAAGTTTAAAGAATGAAAACCAACCAGGCATTATGTGAACAAACTCTAATGTTTGACCAGATTTTTTTTTTACACTTTGTGGTCTGTTATTAACTTCTACACAAAAAGACATCTCTCTAGGCGAAATGGTCTTCTAGACAAATAACACATGTCACCCTACGCAATAGAAGAATGTCGTACAATATAAATCATAAATAGATGAAGATTTTAAATTATCAGTAATACATTCAACATTTGATTTCAACATCGAAATATTATATCACATAAATAATGTTACAGCTAGACAATCGTTTTAACAGAAATAGAATGGCGGCTACTGTGTGAATTAACCTTAAACTTTATATTAAAAAAAAAACAGCTAGTAAAAAGCACAAAGCCATTAAAATATAAAATTTCACTGTTTGCCCAATAAATGAATGAATCTCACTTTGGCTCCTATGCCTTTTCTTGACCATTTCAACTATTTAGACAAAGGGCAACTTATGGGAGACATTGTAATCTAGGTCACAAGGATTCAACATGATTGGTCGATTTGCGAAGAACGATTTTGCGCATGACCAATACTTTTAATATGCTTATTGGATGCTGGTTATAACTTGTAATGTTCAATATGTATTTAGTACCAGTTGGTAGAGCAAATATTAATTATGAGGGATTGCCTAGAAAGTGGAGATTGTGAGAACCATTGATGGTATAAATCTTTTGTAGTTCAGATTTTAAAAAAATTGAACATGCAGTAATCTAGAATTCTCTAGCATTTTACAGTAGGCCTACACAAGACTAAACGTAAGTAACATTAATGCATTACTATCTCATTCCAGAGTATCAGAGAATTATATACAGTACCGGTACAATGCACAAACTAAGGCGATTAAAAAATAGTAACTTATTCATTGTAATCTCCCTTTGACTACCATAGTTCAATGATTATTTACCACGAACATGACACCGACAGTCGGAAAAACGAGGCACTGGATAGATCCAGATGGAGAGCCAGCATAAAGGAAGGGTCATGGAGTGAAGATGGCGTACACACCAGAAGTAGAAAGAAAGGTCAAAGTGCTACAGCGTCTTGTGATTACAGATGCCCATCCTATGACCGCAGGCTGTGTATCAAGGATTGGCCTCTTTAGTCACATGAAAAGGGAAAAGATAGTCTCCCCAAGGCGTATAATGCCACAGACAATTAAATCAAGACATCACTTGTCATCTATGGTCTCCAAGGTTTAAAAAAGAAAGTTTGTCACGTGACTGATGTGAAGCATTTCAAAGTGCAGACCAGAAAGCCAGTTAAAATAAAAACACAAAATGTTTATCAAATAACAACAATGAGAATAAAATGATACAACCAGGAATGTCAAGACAGGCTCTATTCAACTGGAACAAATATGTTTACAAACAGTAACGCACAGGACGTAATCATCTTCTTTTTTGAAGTAACGTCTGTATTTTATAAGATAAGTATCTGGAAGAAGTGCCCTACAAATTCTTCATGTATTACATTCCTAAAACTTAACAGCAACACACACACATGTTGGAAAGAACAATTGAACAAAGGAAAAGTTAGTTTTTTTTCAGTAATATTTCAAGATATACACCCATAAACTTATTTTAATTCAAAATGCATGCGTAAAGATATAAACTATTTTTTAAAATTCAAAATACACAAATATAAACTCTGTCCCTAAGCTTAGGTAGGGTGATTGACACACACAAACTAATCACACACATTCTATGCTATAATAAGAATTTGATAATCTTTGGTGGTTCATTAAACACTGAACACAGAAACAACATGAGAATTTATTTAAGTAGAAAATCATGACACCCGGAGTATAGGTTGCTAGACCCTGTTCACCTGCAAGACCTTCTCTCCCTTATATAATTAGGTATTCACACGTCTGATAAAGTGACAAAAAATTTATATATATATATATATATATATTTGTCATTCGCTGTTGTAAACATTGGCAATTAAAAAGTTTACTTCAGCTCTTCGCGGAAAAAAACAAATAAACAGTTACACTATACCCCTCCCTTTACAAAAATACTGAATCCGGTCTGATATTAAAATACTATCTCGCATTTGTTTTTCCGGAAGTGGTTTTCGGACATTTTGGCGTGTATATTGTTTTAAATCGTAATGATCTATTTGTCATTAATTGGATCATTATTTTAACACCGTTGATCACATTATTACATTAATTATATCACTATTATTGCATCACTTTTTTAAAAACATTATTCGACCAATTATTACCTCCATTAAATGACTATTATTATTGCACTATTATTGCATCATTTACATCAGTCATTTGAAACTAACGCAGTTAATCCTGAATATCGCTGTAACGACTCTAAGTACTACTAATCTTTATTATCCATAAGTGGACTTAATCAAAGTGACATTCTAAGATTCGTGATTCACATATGTAATCATCGTATCGATCAGTGGCGTACCAAATGTGCCAGTTGCCCGATGCAACAAGGCCTGTGCTCGATTCTCCCTTCCCAAGATATTGTACAGCATATATATATATATATATGATTTTTCTGTAGTGTTTTGATAACCATTTTAGCGCCACCTACCAGCCATACCCTTGGTAAGCCACTGATTTCAGTATAACATTAAATTAATTTAAAAAATATATTATTATTATTGCGAAAAACAAAAGCTTTTAACGAATCACTGGTCTAGCAAGAAGGTATTCAAATAAGGGCATACTTTAATTTGATCGGACCACTACTATCTGATTGAGATCATTGAATTTACCGCAGCTTTCTATTAAACAGTCACAATCAGGGGCATGCAGGGGTGTGTGAAACATGATAGACCAATCTCGTCGTCAGGCGATAGTCTCGTACTTTAAAATTTTTTCCTGAAACATATAGCGAAACAATTTAAAAAATCTCAATAAAAATATGGACTGGATGTAGATCTGGTAATTGTTTAAGATTTGGTTGAATTAGAATATCGTTTACATATCATACGTAAATATTATTCTACAAAAGGCCAACTAGATCTAAATATCAAAATACAGTGTTAAAATGTAATACATGTTTAAAAAACAAAACGTGACAACACCGCAATGAAATAAATAAAAAAAAACCCAGATATCTTGAAAGTGAGACGCGAGTGCAAGGCTTGGCGCACAGAGGCATTAGCAGAAATAATAAAATTTAAAAAAATGAAGTAGAAATGAATGTAAGCGATTCATAAGTTTTACTTTTGTAAATTTCATCAAGTAGAATTATTGCCAGAATAAATAAAAAACAAACAATAAATAAACAATTAATACGTGTGGGTATATAATCCATATACTTATGTATACTTATACAATTACTTTAGAGAAATGAACAAGATATGGAAACAGTTGTGAACATTTCAGACTAAAAAATAAATTATGTAAAAAAAAAAAAAAAAAAAGCGAAAGAGAATGAGAAAATGGTTTAAAACACCAAAAAGAAACCCAAGATTTCGGAGATTTAAAATAAAAAGCAAAAAATAGGGAATAACAGGAAAGGGGAGGTAATCAGCTAGTAGGTTTGGAGAGATGGTGCGATGTGGAAATGGTAGGTATATAGAGAAAAAAATGTTATAATTACAGCTGTATTATATATCTGTTGATCTAGCATTCGTTCATTCAAAATGCATTTTTAATAAATATCCATATTTGACTCATCACTTTATAATCCTCTCTTTTGCATGCTGTTGCACAATGAAACTATTACAGCCCCTGCATATAACATTATAAAATTCAAGCTTCATATTCAGTTATACATATTTGAATATCTGAATATATTTACCCTCGTCGTACAAGTCATTAACACCAGAAAGAAAAAAAAATAAGGCTCAAAATACATTTATCTAGAAAGACGATTTAACAGGATAAATAATGTTTACACTAAAAATATTTATTTCTCAAGCAATTATTTGTCACACAATGATCGTGAGGTGAAAATAATTATTGAACTACTTTAAGGCAGTCAGGAAATAATTCACAGTTATATTTGGTCCAACTTTTAAGTCATGTCACTGAGATTTGAGGTTCGAATTCGAATGGTCGGGCAGAAAAAAAAAAGGCCAAGGCCAAATGTCTTTTGATGCAACTTTAAATATTAGACCATGTCTTATCTTCATATCTTATATAATACAGACGTTACGTCAAAAAAGAAGATGATTACGTCCTACGCGTCATGCATTTAGTCATGCTGCAGAATGCCCAATCTGGACAGCAGACCTTGAAAGAAACAGCTGGAGAAATCTTACAAAAGGCCACGTGACACATTTGAGAAGAGACCCAATGGAGAGAATCCATCCAAGAAGACATCAAAAAGAAAACTTAAATCGACCTCCCCCCCCACCCAGCAGATATTTTTTTTCTGCATTGACTATGACAAAATATATAGACCATAACTGTATCTGCGAAATCTTTCAAGCAATCTTCGGTCTTGAAGTTATTTGCTTTATTATTAATAAACTTGTTCAATATAAAGCTAACATCAAGACTACTGAATGGAAAGGACTTTGAGATTTTGAGTTTCTTCAGCGTCACTAAGAAATGACTTTGTCAACTGCAGCTTTCTGCTAAATAATAAATCACACTTTTAAAGGATCGTACATCAAAAGCTACTGCGTCCACACCTTAGAGTCACTTGTTTACACCGTCTCCGGTGTAAAGTAATCTAACAGCCCCCGCCATTCTTCAATGCTGTCAATGAGCAAAAGAGAAACAAATCTAACAGCCCCCGCCATTCTTCAACGTTGTCGAATGGGTCAAAGAGATAAAAAAATGAGGAGCCCCTGAGGTGTGCGGGAGGCGTCATGGTCCAAGCTCATTACTTCCAATGATATGTCAGTCAACCAGTCCGCGGGTACGTTGGAATGTGAAGCTTCATCTACTTTTAAGGACAGAAAATCCGTTGTGACCTCATTTTTTGTTCACAATTAAATAAATGCCGATTTGTCAGCCCATACCACAGCTCTATGTTCATAACTATTTAAATATATTGAAATAAAAAAAATCGTTTCTAAATGAATTTAATAAAAAATTTATATATATATAATTTATTTATATAAGTCTAAGTCTATAAATCGACTGGACAAGGCAATATTTACCAACAATTGCATTTTTGTTTCATTATAGATTTAGAATTAGAAAGCTTATCAAAATGAGCTTAAAAATGGCCTAGCTTGTCAGTTTATAGTTCTCTATGCCTATGACTGTTTAGTCAAGAAAAACAATGTTCCCCCAAAAAGTCGTAAAGAAATTTGAAGGCGTATTTATTGTTCCAATGTTCATCCAGTCAAATGCTCGTCGTGGAATGATATAGACATTGTGAAAGAAAGCTCAGCGGTAAGGGGTGAAGCAACACCGTAGACAAGGGGGGGGGGAGAAGGTTTCTTTGGGGAGGAACAAGAAGCGTGACATTAATGGAGTGGTCTCATAGAAGTTCCCTCAAAGTCTACCTGGTCGTCTGCGCTGTCTTTGTAGGACTGGTACCGGACATTGTTGGTGAAGAAATTCGTGAAACTACGGCGACTGGTACGATATCTGAAAGAAAAGAACAAGTAAAATAAAAAATAATCCATTAGAAAACAAAACAAAACTTATCTAAAGGGGAAGAACTCAGTCCTTAAAACTATATCTACCAATAATTTACAAGTTATTTCTCTTATTCGATATCAAACAAAATAATGAATTACCTAGTTACAGTAGCACCGAACAGGAATTAACTAATTGAGTATTTTTGTTTCTTGATTCATGTTTTGTTAGGTGCAATAAATTATTGTTTAAAGTATCAACTTGATCGGAGAATAAAACCTTCTCAGCCCCAAGGATCACAGTAAACGGACAGCCCCTTATCGTGGTAAACCACTTCAAATCTTATCTTATCTTATATAATACAGACGTTACTTCAAAAAAGAAGATGATTACGTCCTACGCGTCATGCATATTAACCAATGACTTAAATTCTGCCAAGTCACTGGTTTTTCTGGCTAGCTCAGGCAACCCATTCCATGATCTAATAGCACTAGGGAAGAAGGAGTATTTGTACAAATATCTGGGTAGTATAGTGTTAAATGACGCCTCACTTTCAAGGGAAGTTGATAACCATCTGGCCAGGGCTAGTAGCGCTTTTGGACGACTTCAGGCGAGAGTTTGGCGGCATAAATCACTCCGCCTGCCTACATAAATCAATGTCTACCAGACGGTGGTTCGTACAACCCTTCTATATGGATCTGAGACATGGATACTATACAGAACGTATGCCAAAGGCAGTCTTTTTTTTTTGGTGAGCTAAAAGGTGGTTGACGTAACAGAGGCGCCCTACGGAAACGCTTCAAAGGCCAGCTTAGGCGCGAACTTGCCTTAGCTGACATAGAAGAGAGCACCTGGTTGCATGCGTTCTCAGAACGAGACAGCTGGAGGTTTCTCACAAAGGCCGCGGGATAGACATTTGAGACCAAAAGACAATCCGCTGATGAGGACAGACGCAGACGGCGAAAAGAAAATCTAAATCTAAATCACCTGGGGACAATGTTTATGTTTGCCCTGGGTGTGGCTAAATATGTAGGCCACAGCTGGTGCTGCACATCCACGGGAAATACTGCATTCCTCACTAATCATCGGACTCGAAGACAAGCCTTATTGTTATTATTATTACATTTTATTGTGCTAATATATGTATATTGCGTCATTGTTTGTTGTGAATGTTTTGTGAGAAAATATGTAACAGGATGTGAGAAATAAAAAGAGAGTCTTCTATGTATACTGGTATAAACACAAACTTTCTGTTACTATTAATGTCTACAGTATTTTATTTATTTATCTGTGACAACAGAACATGGTGTCAGATTTAGTGCCAGATCTAGCATCAGATACTGTGTAACAGGCAGTGGTTTCTAAATTGCTAAAAGTACATTTTATTTGTATCAAGT